ACATTTTCTTTTTCCAATGTTTTGAGTAAAATATTGGTGGCGACTCCATGAACCTATTTTCAAAACCATTAATTAAGGATTAGTCTGGTGTCCGGGCATTCCTTAATTGATGAGACTTTTCAAAGGATGTCTAAACCATAGGTCGCAAGATCGGAAATTTTCGGGTTGCGACATGAAAAAGAAACGGTTAAACATACTTATCACTTCAAGTTAGAAGTAAAGCCCTCACTTCCATAACGTGAAGAATTCCTCATGCATTTAATGAATAATTAGAAGGAAAATTACAATGTCAAAGCATTCTCGAGAAATACCTCAAGATAACACTATTAATACAAGAAGAACAAGTAATATAGTGAACATATTTTAGTGTTGAATCTCTGTTCAAACATTTTTTTTTATTATCCTCCTTTTAAGAACTTATTCATATTAATTCATTGAACGATCATCTTATATAAATTTAAAAAATCTTATCCTTATTCGTTAACAAAGTTATTTACCCTATGCTTAAACTTACACATCCTCACATTATTTATTGATTCTATTGAAACAAGCCTTGATTGGTTGGAAAAGTTAGGAGAGATTTAGCGGAAAAATAATGCTTGGCTTATGTAAACTTAGGATAAGTTTACTTGTTATTTTATTAGAAGTGACATAGAGAATACTTGTTTTGTAATCATGTTATTTTGTGAAACTTTTAAAGTTCAAAGAGAACTGAACATAACTTAGGTTGAGTGAATCAATATAAAATTTACTTGTTTTCTTTCCTTCTATTCATTACACACTTGTTTTCTTTTTCTTGTCTTTTCATTTTAGTAGTCCATGCCAATGATCATAGTAACAATGCTTGTTGTGGTGACATTGTCGATGATGGTGACAATGTCAATAATAATGATGTTAGTTTAGATGATAGTAATGACAATGTGAATCGTCAATATTGTCAAATTTAGTAGAAACTTGAATTTTTAAAACAAAAAGGTTTTACAAAGCTTTTTCTCATTTTTTGAAAATGAATGTAAGGATATGTTGAAATCAAGTTAAAAATAATTTCAGCACTAGTTTTACTAAACAAATTTTATTTTAAAAGTTATATTTAAGATTCAAAAATAAAAAAATTGCAACCACACAAAAAATGCCTTTTGTAATGACTTGGTTAGCTACTACACTTATTACGGTTCAATTACTACGTAGTGAAAGATTAAACAATATATATCAGAATTAGGGTTTATCATACAACTAATAACTAATATCATGTACATACATGCTATATACATAATATAATACTAAGTATAAGATAAACCTAAGTGTCGATCGGTGTCTATACAAGACCTAACTACATCGTAGTAACCATCAACAAAATCTAGCTGCTTCCAACATAACTCAACACCAATTGCACAAGTCAGCTTACTAATCCTATCTTGCTCTCATACCAAGTATGATCATTGCAATTTCAACCAAAAGGAAAACATAGGATAAACTTGTGAAAATATTCAACATATGATCAAAATTAAGCACCTTTTAGCAATACAACACAATCAACTCATAAACCACACCATCACATCAAAATATAACAATTCACAACATGGCAACAATCTAAACACAACAACTTAATCAACAACTTCAACACATTCAACACAACAACACATTTATTATATCTTATGTGTCATCACACATGCCAACAACATAGATCTCCTACAATACAGGATGAGCAATTTAAGTGATTAGACCCTACTTAACCACATGTGACCTTTCTCAACTAGGTTAGCTAGCAACTCAATTTAATTTCTCAGGTTTGCCTCTTAAACCAGAAAATCTAATATTGTTGTCAAGGTAAAACAGTTTGAGTATGAGCCTACTATGACATTAGTTTGCATCATTGAGCTACCCATGAGATTAGTCCATCGACTATCCTCCAAGTACTATGTCTTTCCAATACTAAGTTAGAGATTAAGTCCTCAATTCAGTACTTTACTCAGTTGGTCGCTTTATAGATATGCTTCTCAATCTTGCCCACACACGAATACCACATGAATCCAAAAGGAGACAACACACAACTTACCATTCAACATTCAACTCACATATTAAGTTTTTTCAACACTTAGGCTCTTGGAGCACCACACCTCATATTCGCACAATGGGATATTTAGTTTTTGAAGCCATCACTTACTCTCCTCTAGCTTTTATGTATCTTAAATAAGATGCATGTATCTCAACCACATGCCTAACAACTTAACAACATAACGATTTTAAACAACTTAATATATGCTGCTTTACAACTTAATCGTCTATCAATTCACACCTTACCGCTCATACATTTTTCTATCATGCATCATCATCCATATGAATTATTCATCATCATTTAACTATGAAAATAACTTAACAACAACTTTTGATCATGCAACTCGTGTCTATAACCACTCACTAAGAACTTGATGCCATTAAGGTAGAGAACTCTCTATCTTGTCCATGCTTGGCGCAAAATCATCCACGTCTGACGTGATTGAGACAGAGAGTCTCCCATGTTCTCGCGTCTAGCATGGCAACACCCACACCTGACCCCAATCAGGTAGAGAACTCTTTATCTGACTCACATCCGACGCCACATACACTAGTGCCCCACGTGAATCTAGACAAAGATGAGTCTTTCTTCTCAAACACGATGTTGTTTAACCCCTGTCTGACATGAATCCAATTTAAGATGATTATCTTTCCTCATGTCTAGTGCATAAGTAAGACAGAAAACCCTCTTGGGAGTCATATCCAATGTGATATCAGATTTCGCACTTATGTAGAACCCAATTTCGATCATTCCACTTGAAATTCAAAATTCCCAAAACACATGCATTGCACAAAACAACATTTATACAACTTATACAACACAATTTTATCATTAAAAACAATATGCAACTAAAATCATTCTAGAATCAACTTAATCTCTCATACTCTACTTCAAAGCTTCAAAATCTTCTCAACTTCATCATTTTCATCACCCAATTCTTCCTAGCAGCCAACAATTCGACTCATTTCAACATCATAACCACACAATGCATACAAGAATTTGTGATCACAACTTCCTTTACCTCATGGAGAATCAAAACCCACAAGAGGATAACAGGAAGAAGGCGACTCCGCGCATTGCTAGCTTGAAGTTCCAACCTCGTAAGTTTGGATCTTCATCACCACTAACTAGAATCAACTGAGAAATGGAAGAAAAGGAAGTTTTTTTTAGTGAGAAGGGAGAAGGAAGAAGGAAATCTCTCTCTAGTTTCTCTCTACAATTCTTGAAAATTGAAATTATGAGACTCACAACTTAAAAGCTTCCTTTTATACCTTCTTAAACTGACTCTAGTTATCTTTAACTCAGCCATCTAAATATTTAACTTACTCTAAGGGTCTCTTGACCCCATAGCTCTCGACAACATATATCAACTAAACAACCAAGCATTTTTGTAGTAGAGATTAAATAGTTAAAAAGAAAAATTAGATTTACAAAATTCACAAATAAAAATTACACAAATTGAAAGAAAAATCAATACACTTGGAAAAGTGAAAAAAATTTAAATCCTTTTATTTATTTATTCAAAATCCTTGTCTTTTATCTTTATTTTTTTTAAGTCAAAAAAAATGCTAGAAGAAAATAAGGAATACATCTAGACTCAATAAAAGAAAAGTGAAAAGAAAATATGCAATTAAGAAGAAAACATCAATAAAAAATATTTTTTTTTCTTCAAAGAAATAAGCATTTAATATTAAAAACTCACACGAGAAATTATTACCAACTAATTAATTTAGCGTAAAATATAAACATATTTTTTTTTAAAAAAAATTAAATGTAACAAAACTCTGACTTACATTTTCTATTTATAAAAAGTATTACAAAAATGTGATAGACGATCGAATTTAGGTTTTCTTATTTTTACACTTAACCATTAAATTAACATAATGATTTGTAACTTCTCCTCTAACACACTAAGATTTTGCTATGAACAATATTTTTACTTTTGTTTTTGGGTTAAAATACTTTTTGGTCAATATAATTTTATTTATTTTATTTTTTAATTTCTATAATATAAAATGTTTAATGGTTTCTAACTTCTCGTCTAACATACTAAGATTTTTCTATGAACAATATTTTTACTTTTTTTTTTAGTTAAAATACTTTTTGGTTAATATAATTTTATTTATTTTTAGTCTACTGTTAATTTGTTAATTTTTTTACAATGATTTTCATGTAAATAACGCGATAAACTCGTTGAAATTGGACTGGGCCGAGGTTCGAGACTGCTACTGCAACGGTTGCAACTGGCAAGGCCTAAGGCTCGAGACTGCTACCGTATAACCCGCCTATATATGAATCAACAAAATGTGACACAAACTGAAGTACTGAACTACATGAGTTCTTGAGAATATGTTTCACATATATTATATATACACACATTTATAAAATTAAATAATTTCAATAATTTAAATGCCTACTAAATTAATATACTATGTTATTATATAATTGACTAAATAAATTATCTAGTATATTTTTTAATTTAAAATTATATAAATAATTTCATATTAATTTATGTGTTCAATTTGACTATAATTCAATTATTTCGTTAATATTATATTGAATTATATAAATGAATCAACAAAATGTGACAGTAAAGCATATAATTTTGTGGACCATCAATATTTATTATTGTCTAAATGAATAATCAACTTATTAATGGTTATATAATAAATAATTTAAATAACTTTATAGATACTCAATATTTATTATTTCTAAATTTAATCCGGATGAATAGTCCAATTACTAATATTAAATAACACATTACCATAAAAAAAACTTAAATACATGATCACCAATTTAATAAAATCATATGATTTATTAAAAACGGCGTTAAGAAATATAATCACATGATGACATTAAGAATTATAAGTACATTGATTTAAACAAATTCGACAGTAATATTATATTTTTTTCCATAGTGTGCCCCTCCATTGTTTTTGTCAACAGCAATATAGTATTTTTACCTTTTACGTTTTGCTTCGTTTTTGTTTCTCTCTCTAACTCCCCGCGCCCTCCGTTTCCGTTACACCATTTTCTTTTCTTTTTCATTCATGTACTTATTTGCTCATGTTAGTGTTCATGCTTTCTTCACTTTCTTCGCTCATATGCAGCAGCAGCAGTAGTTGAATCGAACACCTTCTTCCATTTAACACAAAACGCATTCATTCGAATAGGTACCAAACAAACAAACTCTTTTTCAACCTCGTTGCGGATCTTAGATGCGCGCCCCCACCGTAAGAAACCTGTGCACCCTCGGCACCCTTTTCCGCTTGAAAGCCCGCAAACCCCGCGCCAACGTTGTACCCTTCACGGAGCCTTCTCCGGAGTCCGAACTGCATCTCTCAGAAATTGGCATTGGCGACTCCTTCCAAGGTAACTTTGCCAAGTTTCAATTTTTACGCCTACCCGTGTTTTCTTTTACGTCTAACTTCACAGAGGAGCCTTGTTTTGATAATGGGTTTTTGGTTTTTTGGAGCTAAATGAGTCAGAAAAATGTTGGGCTTTATGCTGCCAAATGTGTTGGTTTCGGTTGTTTTGTTTGCTTGGTGGTTGCTATGGTGTTTTGTTGGGTATTCGGGTGTGTAGTGATCTCGTTTTCTGAACGTTTTGGTGCAGGGAATTCGGCTGACGAGGATGCGGATACTAGTCAGCTTAGTGCTATATTGTGCCGTAAGTGTTTGTTAAATTTACTGTGAGGAGAAATGCAAGCAAAACATTCTTTCTATCACACTTTTCTAAGACACTCACTGTTATTAGCTGAAATTTGTTGGAAATAACTAAAAGGCTATTTGTTTTATCATTGAGTTGTGTTGAACAGAAAAGCTATGTGAGATAGCTTTTCCGCTGAATGAAACATTGGAATTCGAGCACATTATAAACTCTGTAGGTCCCACTCGTTAATTAGTGAATTCTACTTGTGATTTTATTGTTTTTATTAAATTTTAACTAATTATAGAGAGTGTGTTAGAAGATGGGTTATTAGCACTCTTTGTACCGTGAGAGTACAAGTCTTGCACTTTTTAATAGGATGATGTGGAGAGTAGAGAATTGAAATGTGTCTTGGCTTATGTTGTTGTCTTATATCCATGTTGGGTATGTGCTGTTTTTGCTTTTGCAGCTACAGAGATCAAGGTGTCTGGTTCAGAGGAAATTGATGATGATGAAGAAAAAGGGAAAAGTGCTATAGATATGCCGTGGATGCCGGAACTGTTTCATGGTAATTTATTGGTGAAACGAAAGGAGGTAACGCGTGACAGGAAACAAAAGTGGATTTTTAAGTACACGAATGATGACCGTTTCGACAGGTTAATTAAATTGTGTGCAGATAAACTAGGAACAGGAAAGACTGTTAATGTGTTTGGTTGCTTGGGTCGAGAAACGGGTGTGAAAGAGTACACTGCATTGATAAAAATGTGCATAAAGAAGGCTAGGGCAACTGACGATGAATTCGTTGCTGTAAGAGAAATGAGTAAGGCCTTTCACCTTTTCAAATCAATGAGAGATCTTGGGCATCCACTCGAAGAGAAAACATATGGTCCACTTATTCAGTATATATCTGATATGGGTTTGGTTCAAGAATTTCAACTTCTCTCTGATGTTATCAAAGCTGAGAATCCTAGTTCAGCTTCACGATTGGGTTACTATGAAATGTTGCTGTGGTTAAGAGTTGATGATGAAGAAATGATCCGGGATATTTGTGAATATATTACAGTTGAAGATAGTGAAGACACTTCTGCTTTACGAGGTTGGTGAATCTGTTTTTAATGTGCATCGATTTTTCATAATTTGTTCATCCAACTTCGAACATCCAACCCAGGGTTTTAACAGTGACTTGTAAGAAATTCATGAGTTACTTTATTTTTTCACGTAGGGACAAGGATGATGCCCTCCATAACACATTCTTCATTTCATGTGCTACCAGGGAATACTTAGTGACATGATCTAAATGGATCACTGCAGTGGAAATGCATGTTTTATGCCTTTGTATTGCACTTAACAACTTGTTCTTAATTCATATACTAGCCATGTTAGCAACACAGTAAGAAAACTGAATTCATGCTAAATTGTATTCCAAGTACGTTGCTGGAATCCAGCTTCCTTGGCTAATAATAGAAGTGACTGCGCCAAGCATAGTTATTTCAAAATCAGTGCATCTGGTCTTATAACATATTATAATTATTGGCACAATTCTTCTTGTTGTGTATTTTGATTTCCAATAGACGTTTTTGTTTCATGTGGTACATGAAACTCAGCTGAATTCAATTCTTGTTGCAGAAAGTTACTTGAAGGCTCTTTGTGAAAGTGATCGAAAAAACCATATTTTGGATGTGGTGAAGAATATAGACATCACAAAGCTTTCATCTGCAAAATCTATTGCCAATATATTCCAAGCATTAGGCAGGCTACTGCTGGAATCTGTCGCGGATGATTTACTTTTGGATTTGAGAGCACGTGGTATGATTATGATCTTATTTTTTAATCTAAGAATTTTTGCGGATAGTATTAAAGATGGTGCACTGTTCTGTTTTTAAAAAGAAGCCGTGTTTTTTATATATGTTTTCCGCTTTATATTTCAACTGTGTTTGTCCTATGATTTTTATATATTTGATGGGTTCTAACTGGTTTGTAGAATTAACATTATCATATAGAATTGTAAATGTAATTTTAATTCTAATAGATATTGGAATTAGTTTAAAACTGTAGTTCTAATGTTTGGGCTTCACAGTAAGGGTTAAAATACAATTACACATGTATTCATAATCAACTTTCAGTTTTCACAGTTAGAAGGATTAGAAGCTTTTCAAAAAAAAAAAAAAATTCCTTTAATTCTTAATTCTAAAGTATAATTTCTATTAGTCATTATGACATTTTTTCCCTTTATTCTTCCCTTTATTTATTATTTGAAATGTGGTAGTTCACAATTGGAACTTGACACCAAGATATTGTAACACAATTTGGGTATTAATCTAGTATAATATATATCTTTTCCCAAGTCAGGTCAAATTCTTGTCTAAAAACATTAAAACAACTGTATCCCTGTACCTCAAGAAATTCTCCATATGAAAGCACATGCTTTGGAAAAACCTTTTTATCACCTTTCTGGAAATATTTGCTTAAATTTGGTCATTTATGTTTCTTGCAAAGCCATAATAATTACCCAGATCTCAAAATCCTAGATAATGGGGAAGAGGGGGAGGAAAGATGGAAGTCATGGTACTCAACAGTAACAATGCAGACAAGATTTGCCCCCCTCCCTTTTTCTTTTTTTTTCCGATTTGACCCTTTTAATTTGGGCCTTATAATATTATTTTTGCCTCTCTCTCTTTGCCTCTGTTTGGGGCTTTATATTTTTCCCCGGATATAGGCTCTGTCGCTCTGATATCAAATTAGAATTTCTGTGTGGGCCCTTGTCCAAGAGTGAGTGATCTGTTTGTCTAAAATTGGCTAGACACTTTGGACTCATGACCCTCTTCATTATATACCCCTTAATTTGTTTCTCACCTCACCTGTCATGTTGGACTTGTTCTTCCACAAAACTTGTTACATCCTACAGTGGTTGCTGGTGAGTGACATCCAGAGCTACAAATCCCTTAAGGTGATGAGAGATGGACAAGATAGGCAAATTTGTTTAACTGTTTTGTCCTTTCTGATTGTTTTATTTTGAAGAATTTGTGAGGTTTAACTCATGTATTTTGTAATTCAAAGGATTTGTCTTGTGGAATTTGAATTCTAATTCTAAATTGCATGCCAAGCTTAGTATTTTGGTACTAGAAGATCAGTTCTTACCACTGAATAGGGTCTGATATAAATGAAGGCTCCGAGAATTTTTTTAGCCAGAAAGAATAAGTTGGTGGTGAATGTCTCTATCTTATTTCAAGGCTTTGTTGAAGTTGCAAAGCCCTAATATATGTTCTTCTAAGGCCATCTTCACTGGCATTGCATTTCCTAGATCTTCCCACTAAGCACCAATTCCTAGTGAAAATCATTATTGGAGTGCAATCTTCATAAGCACCTGGTGCTACTAAAGCACTGCTCCTTATTTACTTTTGTGGGACATAATGTCAGACATGGCAGCTTTTGTGATGAAAAAAAAAAAAAAAATTAACCACTTTTGTGGGCCATAAAAATTAAATGTTAGAATTTTTATTTTGTTGTAGTTTTTATCTCTTTATCTGTTTAGCTTTCACCAGCTTGCTGTGAAAATTTTATGTTACAAAATTTCTTCTTTAACAACCTGTATAGATTTTTTAAAATATATTTATCAAAAGTAAATATTATTTTAATTATGTAATTTTAACTATTTTTATCATTTTAAATAAAATCTAATTCATGAATTAATTTTTTTATATTATTTTGTTGTTTTATATATTAAAATAATTAGGACTTAATAAAAGCATTGTTCATGAGATGTAAGGATGTGAGTCACTTTTGGGGCCCATTTAGTAAAGCTTTTAGAGTTGTTGGGTTGGAGAAGTAAGTTCCTTAAATTATAAAAAGTAGATTTGAGTAATGTGTAATGGTGGGACCCATTTAAGAACCTCGAAAAATGAAAAATTGAGTTGCCAGGATGGAGATGGCATAACACTTTGCCAATATTTATCTGGATTCTAGAATAGTAATGGATGGTGAAAATCTGTTATCCTTGGGAAGGATCAAGTATTACCTTTATAAATTTGTGCCCTGTAAGTATTTTAATAAGGGATTCTTGTGTGATGCAGATCATGATGCAGATAATATTTCAAACTTCATTGTTAGTTATGCTGTTAGCATTCCAAATTTAGCGGTGAGGAACTTCTCATGAATGCTTCTGGTAAATGTCCTTGATGCTATATGTGATACTGGGATGCACTTCTGTCTGTCTACACTCTACAGTTTGCTTCTTCCTACAGCTATGTTCTAATCCTGCATTTAATGTTGAAACTTCAATCAAAATCTATGTTTCTTGAAATCTAGCTTACTAGTTTATGTTAGCAACTTGGCTTGTATTTTATGAATAATTGCTTTATGATTGATTTTGTGTAAAAGAAAGGATCATACAGAGGACCCTCTTTTGCAAACCTCTGCCATACTATTTGAAGTTGTTGCATATTGAACAGGCATACAGGGATTGTCCTAACAGGGAATGCTCATAAACATGGGTTTTAAAGAATTTCACACATGCTTTAGTCTATTTTACACAATTCAAAAACAGTATTGAGCTTTTCCCATCTCAAAACATGTTTTGTATGCATTTAAGTGTTTTAAAACTGATTTTTTTTTCTTCACCATTTCAGTAAGAGAAAGAGAGTGAGAGAGAACAAAAAAGTGGCACAAAAGCAAGGCAATTGATACATGGATATACCTTAGTAGTTGCTTTGGAAGATAGTATTCTCTAATGTAGAGAGTGAAAAAAATTGAGAAAGAGAGGCATTTATTGTGATATTCTTACTTCTTAACACTCACAAATATGAAAACTTAAGAGGCTGGGTAAAAGATATACTGCATATCCTGTTCCCTTTATTATTTAGTGGAACCATATGCTGAAAATTTTGGGACATAAACTGCCCCATAGCTCCAAAATGAGGGCATGGGAGAATGGGTGTGGTATGATTGAAAAGGGCTTCTCTCAGTTCCTCAATCAAAAGAGTTCAAATTTACCTTATTTTGAACTGTTTCATTAAATGAATAAAGTTGATCCCCAGTTGTCAATTTTCCACAAGAATGCTTCCTTTTTTTATTTATGATTGCTCTATGTTTCTTATATTGATTTATAATGTCAGTAATTAAGTTTATATCATTTCTTATAATGCACACAGTGAAATTATTTGTACCATTTTTATTGTTCTTCTATGTAATTTGGTTCATTACATTCAGAAGTTTGGCCACACCTATTTGTTTTTATATTTCTATATTGCTTGTTTACTATGTGATAAATAAACTTGCTCTCCAACTTCTCATTTGCGTAACCACCCCTTCCCTTTTAAACATTTTTCAATCTATACTGATATTTTCCGATATTTTGTATCTCTAGCTTTTGTCATTGATAGTCCAAGCTAATTGGAATAATTTTATATCAACACTGACACAGTTAAGAGCTGTCTGCAAGTGTTTTTCTATATTTTAGTGTTATCTGGAATAATATTGGCCTAAAGTAGTTGTATGTTATGAAAGATTTTTAAATTTTTTTTTTGTGTGCTTTCTTATGGGTATTGTTTGGTAATGTGGTAGGTTGAGGATATCATCCAAAAATTCACGAATATGCATGAATTACTGGACGTGTTGCCTTCATCCTCTTCATATGAAAAGCTCATTTTGCATTGCTGTGGCTTAGACAAGGTATAATTCTTTTTATTCATCCTCATATTGTGGGTATCAATTGGTTGCAAGAACCTTGTTCATGAGAATGAAAAAGGAAAAGAAAATAAGCTAGAAGGAAAATGAAAACAAGATGAGTATTGAGCACTCTTCAGAGCCTTTACAGAACACTCAAACTCTGCTCCATACATCCATCATATGCCTTAAAGAAAAAACTTGGAAAAATAGAAATAGTAATCTGTTTATTATTCACCGTAATTCCATAAATTTATTCATCCTCATATTGTGGGTATCAATTGGTTGCAAGAACCTTGTTCATGAGAATGAAAAAGGAAAAGAAAATAAGCTAGAAGGAAAATGAAAACAAGATGAGTATTGAACACTCTTCAGAGCCTTTACGGAACACTCAAACTCTGCTCCACTCCATACATCCATCATATGCCTTAAAGAAAAAACTTGGACAAATAGAAATAGTAATCTGTTTATAATTCACCGTAATTCCATAAATTTTATCAAAACAATTTATGCACATACTAAGTTTCTCTAATTTTATTTCCCCCAACCATAAGTGACATTTCTGCTTCTTCCTTTTCTATCACTGACATTAATCCTGACAGTTAGAAAATATTTCAAGATCACAGCAATTTCCTTGTCCATTGATTTTTTAAGGCTTGACTTGTCTCAAGGATTTGTATTTATAAGAAAAGAATATAAAAAAAGAAAGGGACATAACCCAACACCCTGTTCACTAATTACTACCATGTTTCGAAAAGTAAGTCCAAGATTCAATTGGTGATGCCTCTGGGTCACGGTTTGATTGATTCAGCTTGGTAAATTTATAATTTAACATGATAAAATTCAAACTGGAGACAGTGCTGGTTCTCTCCGATTGTGTCATCCCATTTTTTTTCCGTTGATTTCTTTATTGCTGGAGAGTGGAGAGGCTGCCTCTTTCCAGAAAGTAATTTTTTGCGTTCCCCTTTTTATCACTCAAGTTATATGTATCTTCACTGGATAGAAAAACAGAAGATATTTGAAAAAGGGTAATCACTGGCTTGGGAAATTATACTAACTTAGTCTCTTTTTGATGGGAACTGAGAGTTAGGTTAGGGCCCGTACTGAAGTTGTTGGTAGAAAGTAGGGTTAGTAACTTATAAACGAAATGTGAAATAATATCTGTCATTAGCTGTTTTGTGCTGTTAGAATTTGTTCTCTTAAGAAAGTGAATTTGAGTCTAACAATTCTATAAAATCAGTTTTTAAGGTGAGAGCTGTTTGTCATTTATATAAAATCTATTTTGGTCATACTACTTATCAATGTGAAATTTCCAACACACTCCCTCACGTCAAAGTTTGAACATCTTAAACATGAAATTTGTAGGACCAGACATGATATGAACACGGAAACAGAACAAATTGTCTTGAAGGATTCAGACTTAGAAATTGGATTTAAATTTTTTCTTTAAAAAAGGATATTGATGCCTCACTCAAGAAAGAGGTGAGCGACAAGCCATAAGATTGATTGTCACAAGTTGTCTTGAAAAGATCAAATTTATTTCTTTGCCCAAGAACAAAGAGAAACTTTCACAAAAGGAGAAAAGTCAGATTTCGTTCCAATTCAACATGCTTCATAACTATAAAGTGATCTCTATTTATAGGCTAAGCTTCCCTCTAATCTTTCCACTAGGAATTTAATTATCACTAAGAAGTGAATGCCCACTCACAATCAGATCTCTATCAGGACTTCTATGGGTGGTCTGATAACAATCAAATCGTAGGTGGTCTGATAGGCTCAACAACAATTGTTAGAATATGTTTTAATACTATTTGTGGGTGGCTTGATAACAGTCATCAACATGTGTATCATAACTTTCATTAGCAGTTATGTTTTACTTTTGTTAAAATATGTTCAATAATAACTGTCATGTTGACAGTTTTTGGCAAAACAGTTACATATTAAATGTGTGTGATAGCCTGAATGGAAAATTTGTGGTATTCTTTTAATTTGGACAGAGACTCATATCAGTAGGGGGACTCTGGGACAACAAATACTGTTGTATTCTATTTATTTTATGTGACTTAATTCTAGCTTGTGTCATACACAAATGAGTCAAAATTCATTGAAAAGTCAACACTAAACTATTTATATGTTTGAAGTCCCCGAATAAGCCCAAGTAGAGTCAAAAGTCAGCAAAACTTGAGAAAAGCTAGGCACCACTTTCAAGCTCGCCTTGGGCATCGAATATTTGGTCTAATTAAGGGACCAACAATCAACTTGGGCCCTCAAGTTCCAATTACAGAAAAACTAGGCCCAAAGCCCAAAATTACAAAAATAAGGTCCAAGGTCCAAATACAAAATAAAACTAAAAAGTTACAATTGAAAGTCCTATTCTAAAATTTAGATTTCTCCAAAAGTATCTTGCTTCCTCTTGAGTTCTTCATCCCCCTTCAAGTAGATCTACATCAACACCGGTTCAATAGATTCAAAGAAACTGAAGCCACTCTTACATGGGTAATATTTAAAAGAATATTGATTGCAAGGTTTGGTGGAAGGAAGAATGAAAATCCATATGAAAAGTTGGTTGAGTTAAAGCAAATGGGATGTATAGAGGTCTACATAGAACCCTTTTGGATTTTTGTCCTCTTAAGTGAGAAAACTGCTGGAAGGGCAATGCATGGGTTATTTCATTGGGGGACTTCAAACTGATATAAGATGTCAGTGTGTTTGATTGTTGTGCCATTATTTTATTTTATAATTTATGAAACAAATCTGTTATTCATATACCTGTGTCTGGCATGGAGATTGCATTTGAAATAAATTATTTGCCTTTTATTTTTCAATGCAGGTGGACTTAGCTCTTGATGTTGTTGAAAAAATGTGTGAAGCTGGATTTACCTTGTCAACTGAGGTGTTACAATTCATATTACAAACCTGTGAAGAATCTTATGAATATATTTTGGTAAGATACATATCCCATACAATAACACCCAGTCACCCCTGCTTCTTGTTGATATTTTTTACAAAAATCCCTTCATGTCTCCTCACAACATATATCATCAAATTTTTCCCTTAAACTATTGAACTTCAAGCTATCAATGTTGAGTTGCACCAACGAAACCTATAAGCAAAATGTTAGTTTGAAGAGTTATTTTATTCCTTAAGGTCCTTTGGGCTCAAAGGGAGGAAAAACTTTAGGCCAAAACTGCCTTGAGTTGAAATAGTAATAGTATGTAACTATGTATTGAAAACTAGATACAGACCTCTGTGCATCGAGATTCATCTTAGTTTTGTTTTTTTTAAATAAAAAATTAATAACAATAGTATGTATTGAAAACTAAATTTTACAGAGATCATTATATTTCTTATTTAGAATTTTATTGTACATTTAAATTTGGTTCAATGATATTAAGATGATTGGTTGGAATAATTTTACTTGAATTTCGTATTTTCAACTCTTTTTTAATTCTTGTTTTCACTCTATTTAAACTTGACTATCACAAGTATGGAATAATGTGGAAATAATAATGCCATCTAAATGAATTAAGCCTTTATAAAACTTATTTGGTTCATGCCTATTTTGAATTATTTATCTAATATGTTTCTTAACATTATGAAACAATAAATCATCAACTCATCAAGGCTTCTAGTAACAAGTTACATTATAAATCTTAGGAAGTCTAAATTCAAAAGATGTTTTGATCCACTAGGAATAAAAATAATATTGTATTAGTCTTTTATCTTTGTTTTTATTGCAACAATTATCATAATTATAATTTATTTTCTTTTCAGACATGTAATACATATGAATAAAATTAAGCAATTAAATTGTAATCAGAAATCAAGTCAATCATAATATTTTGACATGCTAGTCAGTATAATTATTTTCATGATGAAGGTCTATTAGATTGCTGATTTAAGAACTAAAATACATCTACTTAACCCTTTGTCGGGTCAAACAAAAACATTGATTGTAATATAAATCCATAGAAATCTCATCCTTTCTTACTATTGGATTTTGCAAAGAATCAACTTTTTATTTGTCGAGTCAGTGGAAGTATTTTCATGATGAAGGTCTATTAGATTGATGATTTAAGAATGGAATACATTTACTTAACACTTTCTCGAGTCAGACAAAGACATTGATTGCAATATAAATCCATAGAAATCTAATCTCATTCTTTCTTATGATTTGATTTTGAAAGGATCAACTTTTTATTTGTCTTTCTTATGAGTATCAATTTCAATGTATATTTGACAGGATTTAATTATTTTATTCACCTTCAAAATAGAGACAAATGTTTTTGGTTTGTTTTGTATTTTTTCCTTATGGAATAGGCTGGACATATTTCACTAATGTTGTTTTGGAATATTTTCAACAAAAGAATGTGAAGAGTATGGTGCACATTTAAACTCTTTAATCTAAATAAGTTTCATAAAGGCACCCAAAATAAAACTTGTAACCCCTAATCAACATTTATGTTAGTTCCTCAAAACTCAAAAGGCATGAAGGAGCTATATCAAAGCGAATAGTCTATATTCACACCTGCAAAAAAAAGGGAGAGAATAGTCTATATGAAGATAACAAATGTAAAAAGCTTAGCTGGCAAAATGAAATTGAAACTTAAGCTGGCTGGACTGCTGAGATGTCCACGCCCATGCTTGCACTTAAGCTTTTGTATATTGTAAATACATGTGTAGAGAATGGGTTTCCCATCATTTAATTCTCAAATAATTGGTCATGGAGTCTCTAATACTACCTTACATTTTTCAACTTAATGGCTTAAAATGCAAGACTGGATGAAGTGTTAGTTATAATACAAAGGAAATGCTTCATTCACAACACTAGTGCCCAATTTTCATAAAATTTGACCCTTTCTGGCCAGTTATCTAAAAATTGTGAGGTTGCTTAGAAATGAGCAAGTAATCTTTTATAATACTTTTTTCAAAGACTCAGGATTTGTGATTTATACAACATAATACTGGAAAAAAGGTTATTTGCCGAAAAAAGCCTTTATTATATCCAGATATCAACGAGAAATATATAATGAAACTTATCTTCCTTTTGCCATTTCAGTATTTTCATGACATTTCGTACATATAGTAGCACAGACTATAAATTATTATTCTGGAGAGCTTCATTGTTTGTTGCTGAAATTAACTGTGTGATAATGTTTAATTGTTTAAAACCTTTATTCTTCACATTATACTGATATATAATTTTTCCTTTCTTCCATGTTTGACTAAAAATCAAGGTCCACCAAATCTATTCCATAATATCTCGCTATCATTTGGAGTTGAATGGTGAAATATGCAGGTGTCTGGTACACTTTTGCGTGAGGATGAAAAATGTAAGTCGTATCTATTTTGTTTATGTGGTTGCAACACATGTGTGTTCTGCAATCTGATATCTTTAAGGTCATGTAAAAGCAGAAAAATTCTATTCTCTGCTATATAGTTTCTATGTTAACTGGTATTGAATATACACATAATATACTTCCTAAAACTACTCCATAAGACAATGACCTAATCAATTAAATGGCAATAGATATTTTACTAAAATCTCATTTGACTGGAGGCAAAATCAATTTGGATACTTCCCATCATGAAAACCAAACACACACATACTTAAAAGTAAAACTGATGAACATTATTGATTGACTTCACTTGATCAATGCTCTATGCCCAGGGTACTCTGATACTCTGATACCAACTCACACGGGATCATGGTAGTTGAATCGAGATACAAATAATGTATCGGAATTATAATATTTTAAAGAATAAAATTGTACACTTGTATTTAAAGATTATTATAATGAAAAAATAAAACATGTTAAAATATTTCAATCAAGTACGACCAAAATAAAACTAAAATAATATAATTCCACCATTCAAAATGTGTTCATACAATTCCAAAATATAAAGCAAACACTTGTGCGACCAAAATAATACCAAAATAATATAGTTTGACAAATCCAACATGTGTTCATACACAACCAAATTATAAAGAAAATACTCAAATCAAGTGCAACTAAAATAACATCAAAACAATATTGTTCATCCTAGCTTGTACTTTATCCAATTTGAACGCTCTTTTATTGACAACATCAAGAAAAAGTCTTTCTTTGCATTAGTATTGAGGAAATCAGCTGACATGTAGCGAGTTCGAACATCCAAATTTGGGATCTCTTTTATGGCACTCCAAAATATTTCCCTTTGCTTCTTGGTATCTTTCTCTTTTTTCCATCAAGTTAGACATTTTTTCAAAATTGGCGGCTATAGTCTCAATGCCAACAAATAGATTTTCTAGAACTTTGGCTTGACTATTGTTCCCAATTGAGTTAGAACTCACTCCATACTCAGACCTACTCCACTTACAATTAATTGGTTTTTCAGTGGGAACCATTGAACTTAAAGGGGGTTGAGGTGTTGAAATTCTTGGGTGAGGTGATGGTGGCTAGTAAGGTAGTTCATAGTGATCTGGTGTTATGGTGTTATGAATACATCATTGTTAAGATCTAGTGTTATGAATACATCATTATTAGATACTAGAATGTCTTATGTTAATTTTCTTTTTTTAAAATATAAAAAAATCCAAATTTCACAATATAAAAATTAAAATAAAAATTCATAGTAAAAGATAATAATTGTTGAGTCATAAAAGAAGGAGGAAGATAAGAGTAACAAATTCAAGAGAAGAAGAGAGATCGCAATTTTTATACAGAAAGGGTTTTTCCCCCAATTAAGATCCATTTTCATCTCATTATACTCATAGAAACCCTAACTCAAATTCATCTTATATATATATATTGTAGAGATCATGATATCAATTTCATCTTTTACCTTTCCCTTTTCTTGACCTGTGTTATAAAAAAATTATCACTTAAAAGTTAAAATTTCAAGCATTTTTTTTGTGTTATATAAAGGAACAAATTCAACTAAATAAAATAAAATAGAGCAAGTCAATTAAAGAGAACGAAGAGAAAAATAGAGCAAGTCAATGATACTGTCATTTATATATCAGAGTTTCACAAAATAGGGAAATGGAATGGGAACAATACTACAATATTATATATGAGCAATGAACAATAGTGCAATATTAATTGTAGAGAAAAAATTGAGAAGACGAGAGCATAGAAAAAAAAATGAAAAACTCATTTGAAAATTCTTGAAGCACTTGAAAAGTCACTTCAAACAATCCTCCGAAATCCGATAGGTTTGGATGAGATTGTTTTATGAATTTGGTATTTATAGATAACACTAGAAAGTCATTCAAAATCCCTCTAACACAATAATCATTTAAAATCCTTATATTTTGAATACCAATTGATTGTTTTTAAGTTGTAAATGAATACTAATGGATTTTAATAGACTCTTTAAAAAATATTGAAAATCCAGATTAAATACCACTGAATTGTTTTTAAGTGACATAAAATCCCGATTGAATACCAATTGACTTTTTTACTCAAAAAAAAATCTTTTAAAATTTTATGAAATCCTAAACCAATACACCCCCTAAGTTTTCTTACTTCCTACCGTTAACCCCTTTCTAGCCGTTTCATCCTCTGATGACCTCCACTAAGGTGTCATATATCGTGAAAGGCTAGGTACAGGACATCAAAGTTAGCTTACATTGACCTTTATTTAATTTTTTTTTTAAATATCTCATTTTTTTATACTTATTTCAATAATTTTAAGACAATATATTTTTAGTTTCTATAAAATGAAAGAGTTTCTATTTAAGTTTTATAAATTTTTTTCTTTGTTTTCCATTTTTTTTATAAAATTTATAAACATTATTTTGTCTTTGTGAAATGAATTTTTTGTTTTGATTTTGATCTGATTTTCATTTTTCTAAAATCTAAAGTCACTTTTTATGGCTACTAATAGTTGTTTTAAGATAAATAAATAACGGTTGTTTTATAGATGTATGCAAATTTTCTAATATTAACACGATGTCACAAATAATTGTGAGTAACATCTAAGGTAATCATTTAATTATTTCATTAAAAAAGTAATTAAAAAGGATCACATAAAAATGGAGATTAAAAATAATAGTTTCAAATTTTAGAGAGATAAAAAAATAAAGAAAAAATTTACAGAGATTAAAATCAAAGCTTACTAATTTTGTAGAGACTAAAAACATATTTAATTTTTTTAAAATAAATTATCAATAGTTAAAAATAAATTTTATTATAGCATAAATTATTTAGCATAAGTTAAAAATATTATTTGTATGTTTATACAAATTTTAGTTATAATATAATATATATCAATAAAAAATTTAGTTATATAAAATAAATAGTTATTTTATGTATTGTAGGGATAAATAATATTTTATATTTAATTATGTCATACTTGATTTTTGAGGAAATTGTTTTTTACATTCCTTTTCATAATTTTTTTGACTAAATTACACTTTTGGTCTCTTTATTTTTATTAATATGCAATTTTAGTCTCAGAGACATCTAATCCCTCTAATTTTAAAAATACAGAATTTTGATTCTCCCATCAAATTGACATCTAATAACTATTAAATTTTAACGTTTACTCATATTAAAGTAATATAACATTTAGTAACATGACATTTAAAAATAAATAAATAAAAAAATTACAAATAAATTTTTTATTAATAAAATAAATATCAAATACCCATAAAAATATTTACAAATAAAAATGTTTTGTATGTCATTTTTTTAACTTTTATACCTATGTGTTATATTGTTAAGTCTCAATTTTACCTCTTTTTGGATGAGACTTATTGAACAAATTCCACTCATCCTTTGAACCATTGCAATATAATTGTTCTCTTTTTGGTTCATTTTGTGTGCAGATATAACTAACCCAAATTTAGCTAACAATACCTTAATACACCTCATTTTTGTGCAGGTATTGAGCTAGAGAAGTGAGGATTGAAGATTCTTAGGATTGGGAATCCAAGAGGCTAAGGAGCAGAGAAGAAATTGCGCCGGGCGCAAGATGACTCGCGCCGGGCT